TCCTCAAGCACCCTGTGCCTGTGTCTCACCACCCTCAGGGTGAAGAACTTCTTCCTTGTGTCTAGTCTAAACCTGCCCCCTCCCAGCTTCCAACCGTTACCCCTCGTCCTGTCACTGCAGGCCCTCGTAAAATTCCCTCCCCAGCCTTCTTGCAGGCCCCCTTTCAGCACTGGAAGGCCACTCTAAGGTCTCCCCGGAACCTTCTCTTTTCCAGGCTGAACAACCCCAACTCTCTCAGCCTGTCCTCATAGGAAAGCTGCTCCAACCCTCTGACCACCTTGGTAGCCCTCCTCTGGACTCGCTCCAGCAGCTCCACGTCTTTCTTGTGCTGGGGGCTCCAGAGCTGGACGCAGTATTCCAGGTGGGGTCTCAGGAGGGCAGAGCAGAGGGGCAGAATCCCCTCCCTCGACCTGCCGGCCACACACCTTTTGATACAGCCCAGGATACAGTTGGCTTTCTGGGTTGCGAGCACACACCGTTGGCTCACATTCATCCTACCATCCACCAGCACAGAATGTGCAAATCATTGAAGAACCAACCCAAGGAGCCAGAGCTGTAAACCTCTTAGGCTTTTTTTATTGCTTAATGGCAGCAGTAATCTCAACTGGTGGCAGCTGACCCATCGTTACAGTGCATTCTAAATTTTGGTTAGTGTTTTAGGACAGTCACCCTTTCCGGGTGGCTTGTTCCTTACCTCTGTACCTCCTTGTTCTTCCACATGGAGGCAGACTGAGCCTTTGGCACACGTTCAATGGAATTCACTAGTTCTTCCATGAGAAGTCTGAAAAGACATCAGAACTAAATTAGTATTGCAGCCTTTCACACAGCAGAGAACTTTGTCCCAAATGTTTCCAAAATATCACACAAATTGGAACACAATTAGGCCGTTTTAAGGAGAGGGTCTTCCCACAGAGGTATCGCAGCTGTTACCCCTCACCAATACTGCCCCCCTTTTCCCCACTGAGCACATCAAGCTCAAGTTAGTCCAATTCTGTCTGCCTGGTTGTGACAACGGAGGATCTTAGGCCCACTGGGTTATGGGTTACATGGAAAGTGGCAGGACAAGAGGAACTTCCAAATCTCTCTCCTGCTGCACAAGATGATTTCTACATTCCTGACTGCTTATCATATGGAATGAGACAAAAGATACGAAGAAAACTCACTAGCTGACACCTGTTTATCACTTTGAGAAGACAAGCACGTTGTCAGGGTGAACGCTCCTCATCTACAAACGCACAATGCAGCATGTGAGACAGAAAAATACATCAGGCATTAAAAACTGGCACTGCAGATTTCACTGTCCCCAACTAAACAGCATTTGTAATTGTATGCCTGCTTCCCCTTGAAGGTAGGAAGCAACAGATTTAAGCGCAGAAGAATGGCATCTGGAAGTACTTGGGGTGGGGAGAAGCACACCAGTATACTCTCCAACAAGACTATGCTTATCATCAGCTATGGGCCAGCAACACCCCAGAGGTCTTCTACTAGTCCATATCTATACAATTCCTTTCTCCTACAAGGGCCTTCAGTTTCTGTTTGTTTTTACACAAAGGGAGAATTACTCTGCTGTGGAAAGTTTGCATTGGACCTTTAACAGACAAAGACTCCTGCCCTGAAGTGCTTACAGAGTAGTTTGGATACCCGTGGTCTAATCTGGTTTCTAATTATTGAACATGCCAGCTCTTCTGCATGAGAGATGCACACAGCACAAGCCCAGTCAGACTTCACGAAGGGCCCAGCCTGCAGCCTTTGGTATTCACCTAACCAATCAACAGACAACTTCGTAAGACGGCCAGATTTGATGACCAAGCACTGAGTTTTTGACTGCATTGCCAGGTCTTACATTTTCTACTTCAGTCTCATATTTCTGCTGTTTGTCTTAGCACTTCTCTTTGGAGTTCAGAGTTTACGTACCTCAACGGTCATTTGAGATGAAGCCAGCTTAAATTCCTTTCCTCCTGGAGGAAAGAATTTCAAATGCTGAAAAGCTACAGGGCAATAATCTTAACGTCATCTATTGAAAAGATTGGTGATTCCTCTTTTGTTTAAGGGGAGCAGAGAGGAGCATGCGAGATCTTTGATTCATGAGTTTTGAAGGTTTGAAGTTGGCTGTATAGTAACTGCTGCTCAAGGTGTCTCAGTCTCACTCAAGATCTACTGTCCCTCATCTACCGCCTGGACCCAACACAAAGCACCTGCTGTAAATGTTGAAGACAGATGGTTCCAGAGGTTGGAAAACATTGAGTTAACACATTTGCAGCACTAAGGACTTGGCTGGCGTTCAGCTACTGCCTAAGAGCCTCTTCGGAACATTAGACACCACTCCTCTACCCATATTGTCCTTTACACCTTTTCCTTAGCAGTGATGAAAGAGGAGCAGAGAATATTAAGGAGCTTTTTACCTGCCAATTTGAACAGTGGGCTCGGTGGCATACACTGTTCCAGTGAATCCTGTGTACTCTGTGATATAGGGCAACGCCATCATGCAGTGATAGTTGGAGATCAAGATTACATCTACCGTGGAGAGGTCAAGCAGCTCAGTCTGAAAACAGAGGATTGACATAAGCAACACGTAACCCTTTCATGCAGTTTAAGCAACGGCAGAAAACTTCTTTTGTTTAAACTTTGTATTTGTAACTGGTTTATAAAAAAAAGGCGGTGGGTGGCAGGGAGCACGCCTCAGCTATGGCAAAGATTCCTGTTTCCTTTAAATTAACAAGATTTATTTTAAAAGTCCCCCAAAATTATTCCCTTCTCAAATCTGAAAAGGAAACCATGTCCTGGGTTTGTCTGTTTGCCGCGTAATGAAGTGGCTGCCATTAAGAGAGGCGTGTTAATTAAGAGAGGCGTGATGATTACACTTTTATCAAAGAACTGGTGTGTGCGCCTCCTGAGGGAGGAACACTGCACAGACACCAAAACTCCTGCAGGAGCGATTTTGCAGGGTGTCTCATTGTTTTTAATGTGGCACACGGCACCGTACCCCAGGAAAGCGAGAGAGATGAATGTAGACTGTATTTATTCATACGCTTAAAATAATTCCCATCTTTTCCCCAAACTAAATGCTTGGCATTTTTACCATTCACATTTTCTACAGCAGGAGATTAAGCTCATTCATAGGATGCAACAAAACAGACCGGGTGGGTTCAATTTGTTTTGATGTGACAGTTAAGACAGCAGTTCAGAGAATGAAAGAAGATTTCACACATTGTTAAAGGAATTTTAATTAGAAATATTTACTGGTAATGCTATAACACAAATGGTGTCAAGCCAGAAATTTACAAGATATATGACCTCTAACTCAGTTATTATAGAGCAGCTAATGGAATTCAACACTCATCAAGCACATATTATCTGATTACAAGGCTTGGTCCAGCAATTTGAATAAAAAAGGCAAGAAAGTAGGTCACTCAGCTTTTCAGAGGGCTGACACAGTGCTCTGGTGACAAGCTGCTTAACTCCTAGCTAAGCATTCATGGTTTCAATCCAGGAGCACAGCTGATGTGGGAGGCATGATCTCCAGGCTGAGTAGAGGAGGTGAAACACCATTCTCAGATTCATGACAGGGCACCCTTTTATCTTTCTAAGCTTGCCAGGCAGAAACACACTCACTGCACGGTATCAAAACGGCTGCTGACGCCTGCTCCTACCACACTGGCCCTTCGTGGCTTGGTTTTCAGCTGTGTCCAGGCCGCACAGAACCAAATGGGGAGCCACTCAGCCCTGAGCAGAATCCCAGCCATCAGGAGGACACAGACTACCACTTCCCAAGCTGAAGCACCCCATCTCTCGACATCCTAGAAGCATTTTCTAACAGGATGAAAAGGGTGTCAAAACCAAAACAAAGTAAAATCTGCCCTGGGACTTGCGGCAATCTCACTTAAAGTGCCTATGGACTGAAAAGGTTTAAAAATGTTTCTTGAATGTGAAGTGAGAGAGACCAGAAGGTTGCCAAGCAAAGAGAGGGCTGCACCCTGCACTCTGACATGTGGAAGTGTACTCTGCTGCCGAGACAGCCTCTTACCACCTTGCGGCTTCTGGACTACATTCAAAACTTGGCTTTCTTTGGCAACGGTGTTCCTGGAAGTGATTCTCAAACTAACTGCTTTTGCAGACAAGTTTCTTCAAAAGAAGTGGTGTGGAAGGAGACAAAGAAGATGACAAAGCCTCTTTCACACAAGCTCCTTATGCTGTGCTGCCAAACGCCAGCACCACCTCTGCTCTGCTGATGCATTCAGCTGACCACGACATCTGAACCCTCCTCCAGCCAGGGGAGCCTGTGAAGCTAGAGATGCGAGCTGTGTATCACTAGCAGATCTGTTCCTAGGGCTCACGGAGAAGATTTGGCACCTGTTGGGAACTTTGGGAACCGAAGCATTTGAGAGGCCATGTGTAAAGTCCCTACAACGGTGACATGGGCAGCTGGTTGCTGTCTTCTAGGCTGTGACATGGACTGCTGGGACGCAGCTGCATTCAGTGATGACACTGGTATAATCAAGCAGCAACTTCCCGTCGGTTGTAGTTCGAGCTACACAAGTGGGGATTTTCCAGCCCAACAGAGCAACCAGAAAGCCTAGCCGAAGCACCCTAAACCCCAGCAGATCATCATTCCCATGCATGGCCTCAATTCCAAAGGGAAGCCGGAACGTAAACTCCAACCTTCCCAAGATCTGGGCCTTAATGGCACTTTCTAGGCATAGAGATGCTTCCCGCATCCCTCCCTTCCACGGGACAGTAACCAGAAAGCTCACAAGAACCCAGAACGACTAGTTTTTATTGTTTTGGGTGGGTTTTTTTGTGTGATTAGATTATATGCATTCCAATTGGGGAAAACAAGCAATTGCACACAGGTCTGTTGATAGCACTTGCCAAAACCAGAGCTGACAACTTCCTTCAAAGAATCAAGATGACAAGAGTCAGAAGCTGCAAGAGCTGAGTTTCATGGAATCAACAGAGAGAAACGCTATTGCCAGAACCCCAGCAACGTGACAACAACCTTCCAGGAGTGTTTTGTGCTTCCTGTCAACAAGGTCAGGAAGAAAGGAGAAAAAAAAAATAAAAATCGCTGCCCAAAAGCAATTGTGTCTGTCTTTCAAAGACAGAGAAAACATCCCAACATGAAATGAAAGAACTGATGTTATCACAGTCTGAACGCAGCTGAGGAAAGAGGATACTATTCCCAGACTGTTCCCCATCATTCACCCCCACCGCTCTCTGCTCAGTTTTTCACTTCTTCAGCTCTCCCACGTACGCCGTTGATCTGATCAGTCAGGTAAGCCTAGTTAATTCAAACTTTTTCAATAGTCTTGCTTTCTTTTCTTTTAAACCCAGGTATTCTTGAAAAAAGAAAACCAGCTTGAGAAGCAGCCACTTGCAGTTCTGTCAGTGGATACGAAGGTACAGTTCTTCCCTCAAAGAGGCAGTGATGAACAGCTAAGAAGGCAGCAAAACTTTTTAACCTAAATTTGCTGCCGGCAGAACAGCACGTCTGACTGCAGCCCAGCAGAATCAAACAGTGGCTCAACCACACAGTCAGCTCCCCAGGGGAGCTCCACCAGGCAGGTCATGCATCTGTGGTCAGAGACAAGCAGCTTTCCTTGTCTTCATTCACTGTCCTTATCTAGATCAGCACATGTATCCTGTCATAATTGAGTCCAGCTCAGGCATATTGTCTTTGGAAGGCCCATAAAAAGCGACAGTTAAGTCTTATTCTTCTGTGAGATATTGATCTGCTCAAGGAGGCCTTCCAGATCTCCAAAACTATTGTTGAAAAGGGCTGTTTCCATCCTTTTTCCAGTGGCATAGATACCAGAGGCACTTTAACAACACAGAGGTTTTAGTAGTATCATTTACTGAGTACTACTAAATTAGCATGAATTTGATAATAATAATTTAGCAAGTTTCTCCCCCATGATTGAATGGAGTCAGATTTTTCAGTAAGGCTTTGAAGAAACTCACCTCTGGTAAACAGAACTCGGGCACAGAGTCTACAAACACGTGGCCAGAGCACTCCTTTAGTTCCTGTAAGAAAAGCAAATCAACAAAGACACAAAAATACAACGTAATGTTACTCCAACGCGGCAGATTTTGCACTTTCAAAATCTTTTCTTTATCACAGGTAATTTCCAGCCCGTTATGACATTATGCTTATCCCCTTTCTAGACACAATTTGCTGTAAGCAGATCTGCTGAAATTGCTTTCACGCAAGATGAGGCTGCTTGGTACTTCAGGGGATCAGATCCTTGTTTGGAGGAACAGAGCCAGCACCCTGGTAGGTAAGGAAAGAGACGCTGGTAACCACTCGCTGGTTTTGCCGAACCATGAAGGAGGTGCTGTCCTATGAAGCTGCATTTTCTCCGCTCT